CTTCAAAGCTGTGCTTCAATACTGTGTCCTACTGTATTGGAGGTGTTCAGCTTTCAGTTCAGTCATCCTTTTTTGGTCATGAAGTAAGCTTCAGATGAGGTGGTAGAATGTTGGAATGGGTTTAACAGACCCTTGTTTCTTAGTATTCAAACTTCAGTCTGCCAGGAAGAACATCTGAGGAGTGGGAAAAGTGTGTCATAGTCCCACTTTCTCTCCTTCGCTCACCCGACTTGGGCTTGGGTTGAAATCAAAACATGAAGTACTCTAAAACTGAAGTTTCACTTCATAAAATTATAAGGAGAAATTCTTTCCAAAGTTCGAAGTAACTACATTTACATTGACATTGTTCTGACCCTTACCAGGCATCCATTCATGCATGCTATCTAGTTTGCTGCTCCCTTAATCGAGTCACAGCTATAATTATCCATTCTCTGATGGAAAACCTGTTGTGTCTAGGTTAAAGAGCAGGATCCTTACTGCTTAATTGTGCAACATTTTGATATTATTACATAGCCATTGCCCATCCCCAAATAGAAGACATGCATACAGTTATGGGAAGCTAGCTGAGACTAGCTAACACCAGTTGTTTCAGAAGAACATGGAAACTTGTGTGACTCAGTTTCACTTTAGCTTGTTTGTGATTGAAGCATAAATGCTTATATATGGTGAAAAAGCAAGTAAAAACTAGGAGTGTCCTAGGCAAAGCATGCACCAGCTTGTTTGCTGACAGAGAATACAGAACAGAAAATTTAAATATTTTTCAATTTCCCTGCTGACACAATAGTCACTTCACATGCTACAAATCAAAGAACTTTGGTTGTATTGGCAGGAAACATAAAGAACATCTAGATGCGGTCATCATAATGAAAGTGTAGATAGTATGGTTTCTCCATTCAGCTCATCAAATGAATTCTTTTGGTATTCAGATCAAAAATTGACCAAGATAACTCTGCCAGTCAGCATAGGCAAAGTATATTTCTGTTGGGAAGTAGAAACTTTTGTGTTCTGAAAGAAAGCTGCTGTCCTAATCTTTACTGTCCTTAATACTGTGACCTTAGATTTAAATGTTTACCTTCACAACAAATTTCTGTTGATTTAGACAAAACCATGTTGACTTCAGAGTTGCTGTTCGGCTTGGCTGAATGAGATCTTGATTTCAGGCACAACATATCATGGACAAAAGCTTTGCTTTTTGTAGAATGACATTGCACATTAGGATAACTGGAATTAGGGAGCAGGCAGTAAAGGATTAACATCCTTATTAATAAAGGATGAGGAGAGAATTTTGCATGGCAGGAAAAGGAATGGTTTACATGTTATTTTTTTCTTTATTTAACATTTTTTTCCCTTTTTTCCACACATATTCAAGCTAGCTCTAACAAGTGACCAGGGTACTACTTAGAATTATTAAATGTTTCTGTGGGGAAGATTGGACATGTAATTATACGGTGTTAGCCTGCTGAAAGTAGCAATTCTACAGCTTTTGAAGAATTCACCTTTTAATTTGAGCTGAAAGATACATTCTATATTGGAGTTTTTGGCAACAACAGTGAATTTTCATCAGAACTCACACGTTTGGACAGTAATCAGTTCATAAGGAAATACACCGGCAGGCTAAAATCCAATTGAAAACTTCAAGTTAATCTGAACATCAAGAGAGAAGAGTAGCAGATTTATAACCCCTTTTTAAGTAGTAACAGTCTTTACAGTGTTTTTTTTATATGTCATTCAGTTGAGATGAGTTCAAAAGGGATATAAAACATTCTGACTTTTGTATCACACTCACTACTAGTATTTTTTAGAACTATAACCAGAGGATCATAGACTTTAAATTTTGTCTCCACTACTTACACTCTGCTCTGTTTCATTTCTAACTTTGTCAAAGGCTTCTTTGCTTCTCAATAAATTAGGAGCATGCAGTGTGATTAGGAAATTTCCAAATGCAGAGATGCCCCTTTTAAGAAAGTGAGCATATTTGAATATCCATCTCTGCACAAATGATCACATCTACTGTTAGTATATTGCAGTGGCATCTAAGCATTTGTACTACAGGAAAGAAGAATTCGCAAAGGAGGGGATTTGTGCTTGGATTACTTCACATTTTACAGCTGCAGGAGTGCCTTTTTCCAATAGATTCATTCAATTTCCATGTCTAGTCAATGAACCATAACATAAACTAATCAAGTTATTAAACCTTTTTTTAATTTTAAATACAGGATTTGTGTTTTAAAAATTAGTATTTTTCTTACAGTGGTGAAACTAATATTGAACAAACATTGATCAATGTTAACTTTCACAGTTTTGCATCAACAAAAAGTGGTCCATGTTGCTGTCTTTCTCCAAACAATTAATAGCTAAATACTGTAAAATTAAAAAAAGGTATTTATGCATCTGTATTGAGGGATCAATTATATATCCTTTTATGTTTGAGTTGTATAAGGCACTTTGGTAGCAGAGCACAGTAGTGATCTTGCTATAAGAATTAACAGCAGTAAATTGATGTTTCCCTCTATTTCCTAATGAACAGGTGCAAGTCTAATGCTAAAAGGAATAAATATTGTAAATGAAGGGTAGAAGGATCTAAAGGCAGAAAACTTAGAAGCAGTTACTGTTCAGCATTGGCATAGATAGAAGTGTTACCTTTGGAAGTGGACTGTGCAGCATTTTCCTGTGTTTTATTTCCCAATTAACTCTGTTGTCTACAGAACTACAGAATGCAGCTAACTTGAGTGTATGATCATTGACTCACAGCTAACAATGAGCAGTAGTTAGCTCAGTGCATACCACATGCTAACAATACCTTTGTGCTGTGCAAATCACTTGTATTTCACTCTACTAAGACTCACAAACTTTTTGTGGTATTTGGTGGACATTGAAATAGCTTTTGTTTAGGATTGCAACGTGTGTGATAGTTAAGTATTGTGCTTCCATAATAATTTTCATAATTCTCAATTAATTATCAGTAAACTGAGTAAGTTATAGTGGGGTGACATGACTTGTTGAAAATTAACTAGCAAGCTAATGAAAAGACAGGAAGAGGTAACCCTGCTCTCTTAAATCCCACTTAAGGGGGATTAACATTTGGATTGAGAGCCTTACCTCAATGCTATGCAAAGCGTAAGAAAGTGATCTTTGATGCAGGAGAAAGACTAGAGATCCTCTCCATCCTAATACGGCTGAATTGTTAAATGCGTCTCCCCTATAATTGCTTCTAATAGAAGAGCGATACTGGTCGTACTTTGCAATATTTATAATGTGTTTGGTCAGTAAGAGGAATTGCTGGCATTGTCACAGAATCTTGCAGATTAAATGCAACGATGTTTATTTATTACGTCTACTGAGCCACCCTTGCTCTTTCCACACACAGTAGATGTGTAAGTTCCTGTCAACCTTCTCGTCCCTTTCCCTGTCTTTCTCGCTAGGCCACTAGTACTGAAAATCCATCAGGACATAGAACTAGACCAGTAGCGTGGTATCTGGGTCAGGTATCCTATCCATGCTGTCTCTCCATACAGCCTCCTCCATCTTCTAACCATCCAACATGTCGTGTGCTGGAACGTTGTAGAGGCTACCTCGAGAGGATTTTTTTGGTTATTTAGTTATGACGTAGGAGCTTGGACCTAAATATGAGAGGCAGCGAGAAACTCAAATCAGAGGCTTGGCAACCCCTAGGCAAAGCTTGAATAAGGAGTTTCAAAAAAAAAAAAAAATTTTCTATTTTCCAAGCTGTTAATTCCTCATTTCTTATGCCCTTCTTCTTGCTGTATTTATCCTGCCCCTGACGCTAGCTCTTGCAGAAATAAATTCAAACACTGACTTATGTAAGTAGGCACATGATCAATAGCTGTGATTTTGTAGCCTGACAGAGTTGGGGAGAGAGAAATAATCTGAGCTTTCTGAGAGCTTTCTGGAAAGCTCTCTTTTGGCAACCTGTTACTCAGATGTTCTTGCATTTTAATCACTAAAGAATCAGCATCTTTGAGGGAAGGGATCATTAAAAAAATCTTTTTGGGCAAGTGGAATTATCCATGTGGCCACATTTGAAGTTGTAGGGTACACCTAATTAAATATCATTTATACAGTGGCGATGAATGGGTTTGCTATTTTAACTGGATCAAGAAATAACCTACATGTTTTTAAATATTGGCATGTATATCTGAAGCATTATGTTTGTAGTTAAGAGTTTATTGAATCATACTGGTTTATATTAATCCATTTTTGCTTCCAGTTTGTAAAAGATGGGACGTATGCAAGCAGTCATGTCACTATTCCCGACTAGATGCAACAGTCTTAATTCGATCACTAATTTAATCACTCATTGCAGGAAATCCAGTGGCTGCTAAGTCATGTCAAAGTTACAGATCCTCTGTTTTTAAAAATCATTCATCTGCTGTAATCAATATTTAAAATTTATTGTCCATTAAAGAATATTCTGCTACAATATTCATGGTAATTGTAGGAAAAGATAAGTACAGGGGAAAACAAAAGAAGATGGAGACATGCTAAGCATTACTGACAAGTGCACTGTTGAGTCCCAATGTCTACATGATAGTGGGGTCTTGTATACATTTAAGTATAGATTTATTCCCAGAGTTATTTACTCCAATGTTTTGGACACAACTTGACATAAATTAAAAAATGAATCCTTATTTCTTTTGTTGTCTCATAACTATTAGTCAGCAGAAGAAGTTCAGCATGTACTAAAAACATGTAGAAAACAGCCCTGAAATGTTTTGAGAAATTATATTGTTCTTTGCCAGTTTTGGTTAGGATTGATTTTTATTTGCATAGCTGCATTAACAGCAACCAAATAGTTCTATGTCTAGCTGTCACAGATCTGTTATATTCGGACTTTATGAAAGTAGCCTTTTATTTAAAAGTATGTGCTATATTCTTCATTATAATTTATACTTTTGGAGGATAAATACATTTTAAGCACAAAATTAGTACAAGAATTTATACTACCATATTCAGAGCTATAAAACTTTTATGTCTTTTAGAAAATTGAAAATGGAAGATTTGCAAAACTCAGATATATTGCACATGCTATGGTCAACAGTACAGATCTGTTAATGGTAACAAAAAGGTAAACCGTTTTGACTCTGAATAATAAGTACTTAAAACTAACATCAAAATCTGCATGCCTTGATAATTATTGATCAGTAACTGTGTTTTGACATGTCTGTCACTATGTATGTAGATAAAATAATGGGGAAGGCATGCTTAGTGTGTGTTAATAATCTTGTTCAACAGCGGCATTGTTCAGCAAATGAGTAGTATTTTGAGTGTCATAGTAATTCCTCTCTTTAAGGAGAGAAAAGGAATGTTGAGTTTTTCTTTAGCTAAGAAATATTTGTTAGACTGAAGTCAATGGAACTGTGGGATTCACTTACAAATTACCATATTGAAGGAAAAAAGGGTAATACAGGAACAAAGTCAGTGTCCAATAGTGGAATATCAGGCATCCTTCTCAAATAAAAAGTCTGTAGAACTTTTTGTAGAAATACAGCTAGAAGTACCGTTACGGTTTTGCTATGAAACTCAGTATTTAAAATAATTTAGAGGAAGATTCAAAATTCACTCTTTTGGAAACTATGCTGTATGGTTGTTATTAGATGAGAACTATTTTGGAACAATGAATGACTGCACTAGAGCTAGGGTAACTTGATAACTTTTAAGTATTTTTGCATTAACTTTTAAATTACTAATTTTCTTTTCTGGTGCCTAGTGGTGTGTTGTTTGTGACAAAAGGGACATTTGGACAGCTGACATGTGAATGGCAATACACTTACGATGAATTTACCAAAGAACCATTCATCGTTGATGGCAGAAGATTACGCATTGAAGCCAAGGTATGTTAACCTGGTCGTGTTTTCTTTTCTTTTTGTGTTACTGTTTATAAAATTGAACTTTGAATTCCTGATAGCTCTCCTTTGAATTCTTGATCTCTCTTCTAGCTGAGATGCACTCAGAGAAGGGAGTTGAAATTTGGCATGGGCAAATACCTCAGATAACTAGCTTCTGACTGTTCTAAGCGGAATGGTGACTTGGTGTTTGCAGATGAAATTATTCCTTGAACCCTGGGAATTTTTTGTTGGTATGCACCAGTTCATGGTGTATTCATAGTTTGGAAAATGGTGATACAGCAAAATTCTGACAATATTGCAGAATACTTTTATTATACACTCTAGCGCTGTAGAAATATGCCAAAATGTGGACGTCTACCTTGTTGCAATTCCAAAGATTCAGATATATCAGAGCAATACATTTGCATGTGCTATGCTTCAAAGATTTTTTTTTTTCATTTGCTAGTAATCAAACTCTTCAAAACTATAATATCTTCATAAAAACTCTAATGACATATACTTATCCCTTTCAATGCAAGTTGAAGAATATTGCTCTCAGTTGCAATTTTTCCTTTAAAAAAAATCCCAGAACTTTCTTTCCCTGGTAAACTGGCAAAGGATATAAGGAGAAAGATGACTGCTGATGAATGAGTATACTTACAGAGGCAAAGTTCCTTAAAAAAAAATAATCTTGAATTCTTATTGAGATGGTAACTGAATTTAATTTCAATCAATAAAATTACCTGCTAGTGTTTTGTTCTGTTTTAATTAGCTTCATGTGTGTAATTACAGTCTTGTCAGGACTTGTCAGGACAGTCTTGACAGTGTACAAAGCCATTCAGTTTTTCACTCAGATTATTTGTTTCTATTGCAGAGAGCATGAAAGGCAGAGCCATATTGGTTTGGAATCCTCCAAACTGGATTTCTGACTGCAAGTGAACTTTTACAGGATCAAATAATACTTAGAGTTTCTGCCATTTCAGACAATGCTGAATAACATATCCATCTTTACCCCTACACAGCAGTCATTTCAGAGTCCATTCACGTGTCTGCAGTATGCTCTTTATCGAAATCTATGGTTGAAAACTGTATTGTGCAAAGCACTGCTTATGTTCTATTTCTGAAGGCTAAGTTGCTATTTTCACTACCAAAGACCACTACTTGCAAGTCAGTATTGGTGGAATGTCCACCCAGGTAATGACTTAAAGGAGAATGAAAAATTACAACCTTAGGGAGTACTGGATTTTGTTACCCTACATACTCCATTATCTGCCTTCCATTCCTACACACTTTTATAGTGCAGTCTCCAGGGACTCTGTGGTAAAAACGAAAGTCTGTTATTGCTGGAGTGTTTCACTCCACTGTGCTTTCATGCAGAAAATGAAGTTTCTCGGGGTGTGTGCATGCAATGTGAACATACTCAGATTAGTGTAATGGGTACACATGCTGTCCGAACCATATAGCTGCCTTAATGTTAAATAACTTCTTAGTTGTAAAGTTTGAAGAAACTAACTTCAATTTTGAATTATTATTTTTTTTAGGAACGAGTTAAGTCTGTGTTCCATGCCAAAGAATTTGGAAAAATTATTAATTTTAAAAGTCCAGAGGATGCTAAGGTAAAGTCAAAATACTATTACAATTACATTGTGCTAAATTTGGCCTCAAAAGTGAAACAGAAATACTCTTAACCTGAAACTACTAAGTATATTTAAATTCAGTATTTGCATACAGCCATTACACAGATGGAAATGGCAATGATCTATTCAGTACTGAATTTCAAAAATACTCAATTCCAACACCAAAATTTTCCTTACATAAGTCTTTGGAATTATAACTGTCTGTCAAATGGCTGATTTAACAGTACTGCTAACAAAAACTAAAAAATCAAGAATGTAAATTAAAATAGTATGTTTAATAGAACAAACAATATTTGTAAATTACTCCTAGTTTTTTTTCAGGGGGGGTGAGGGTGTGTGTCATTCCTCTGTTCCTCAAAATACAGTTTGGTTGAAGAATGAAGAAAATCTCTAATAGAAGCACAAATAGTTTATTTGATATACGATATTGCTACTATTATTTTATATATATATATTCTGCATGATCTCTTCACCTTGACATCACTAGTTTTGACTACAACAGAAAGTAGGAGCCATTCAGGTCTGCTACCAGAACTATGAGGTACCTGGGTTGCAAAAGTTCTGCCTTGTTTTTATCAGTGTAGCTAGTTATTTTCACAAACAATAAATTAGTCTTGTGTATATTCACACCAGTGGGATATGGTACCCTGGGATCACACTTCGAAATAGTCTGTGAAAGTTGCATCCTCTTATTAGTTTAAGTTGCTTTTGCATCTTCTCCTCAGTTTAAGTTGTTTTTGTCTTCATGTGGGTAGTTTCTAACTACAGCTGTGTGATACCATTTGACCCTTCCCTCAAAAAGCATTACAAATACTGTCAAGGTATTTGAAGGCCCCATACGGAATTGTCTGTAATCTTTGGAGGTCCTGAGGTCCTCTGTGTTTTCTTTTTGGCTATGGTGGGCCAGGGGCAGCATTGAGGTCCAGTAGTCTGTGTGGGAAGGGAATCCCATCTATGCCCCAGCTAAATCAAGAACAATTCAGAAAATCAAATTAGTGCATCATATTATGTATCCCATAAGTCTTAAGGAAGGAAAAGAAAGCTGAAAAAGTTCTTTGCACTTTTCACAAAAATGTTGGTTTACGTATTTTTCTGGAAAGGCCCATGAACCTTACAAAACCAACAGGAATGTGAATATGAGGGGAAAGGTCACTGTCAGACAGACTTGGTAAGGAATGTGATTTTATCTTAGTGAAGGAATACTTCTCTAGGAAGTTTCATTCATAGGAAGTTTCATTCAAGAATTGCCATCAGGGCCTGGGGAGCTATCCTACAGAAAGTTAAGTCTTTGAGAGCTGCTTCCGGGCTGTTTAGCCTGCGGCTCACTTCTGCAAATGTGACACTTGTGCTTGTGTATACAGAGAGATGACACTGAAACAGTGAAAATGAAACTTGCACCCTTTATAGTAAAAACGATATGAGGTCATTTCAGTGCCACTGCTTTGTGAATATTGTGTCAATCTAGTGGGTAAGTGCCATATTCTGAAGTGAACAGTAATTTCTTGAGAGAAATTGAGAGTGAGAAGTGCCATATTCTGACGTGAATACTAATTTCTTGAACAGCCAATTCTTCTTTCAAAGCTTCAGCATCCTGCTAAACAGAAGCTCTGGTTTCCTTGAGGGGGTGAGCTTGTGATGGGGGGGAGGCGATCCTAAAGATTTGCAACATAGAACCAGATCCAGTAACAGAATCCGATTTGTAATAATCCACCCATCTTTCTTGAAAGCATTTTGCAGCTTTCTCATGGAAACCCCTTTCTGTAACTTCATTTCCTACCCTAGATTTCCATGACACTGCCCCTTCCCTCCCTCCTCCCTCCTCTCTCATCTTTTTTTTTTTCCTTTTAGACTCTTGGGATACTAATTTCCCTTCCATGTTCAGTAAACAGGTGTGTTTGAAATTACTGAAAAGAACCCAAATATAGTTAAATAAAGCATCTTTCTAAATAACTCTATCACATTGCTGCAACGTATTCTTGTCCTCTGTCTTTTGTTATCCTTGCCTCTCTGTTGTCATCTGGGATTTGTCTAGAGTTGTAGACTAAGGGAGAGCATTAATAATGATGTGGGTGAAATGATGTCATTTATTTTTAAAAATACTATTCATTGAAGTACAGACTAGGAAACTGAAATATCAACCTAGCCAGTTTAATTAGCTGTGGTATTCACTGTCAGATATTGGTACTTAAAAGGCCTCCATTTTCATGTGAGAAAATCAGGGGTTTATAATCTACAGTAGAATTTTGAGCACTATGTTAAAACTCGGTTAGGAAGAGGGCAGGTAGTGAAGTGTCTAGCCAACCCAATCTAATTTTCAGCTGCTTTCTACGGTTTTTAGTAAGGAAACATTTTTATTTTTTCCTTTTCCTTCACACAGTGGATCCTTTCTAAACTGGAAGAAGTGAGAGAGAATCAGCCAAAATTGTAATGAACGGAGAAGCACTAAGATACGAAGAACACCAAACAGCTACCTTTTAATTCCTCTTTAACAAGCAGAACTATTTAAATATCAGCAACAAAAGCAAAAACAGGATGGAAGGAAGATTTATGAAATTGTTTATTATGGTCACAACAATATATGACTATATTACAAAAATGGATGATGTTAAGTTAAAAAAAATAATCTAGTGATCAAAAAAGTTCTGCCAAGTTTTGGCTTGTTTTGGTTTTTTTAATGTAAGAATTCCAGATTTCATCTTTTATAAATACAGATTTTGTTTTACCATGACATTTGATATTGAAATTGAACTCTGGAATAATTCTAGTGATACTATTCAGAGCAAATCTCTTGGTTTTGATTTGATTCTGAAAATCAATATTTAGTTTCTGTCTTTGTTTTCATATGACTTGAGGCTGTGTTGAAATTCAAATTTCTCTATCAAAGGAAATGTCAACTTAATAATCACTAGTGTCACAACTCAAATTCTAAGGAGGTGGCTACTGACCAGGGAAGTCTAATTTAGATGATCACAGGAGTGGCTGCTTAGTTAACAATATTATTTTCTTTTTGTAAATGAATGGACCAGATCATGAATTTACAGTACATTATCACTTTTAGTGTAAACTTTTTTATATTCTACTCAAGGAAACATTGCAGCACCTCTATCAATATTCACAGAAAATGTAACAGTTTACAGAAACGTGTAATGGGGAGAAATACTATATCTCTGCACTAAAAATATTAATTAAAGCCTATTATTTTAAATAAAAGTTAATAATAGTTTTGCAACTCAAGAAGGAGTTTATGGGGTTATAAGTGCACTGTTGCATACCAAAAATAAATGCCTTGGATTACACAGTATTGTGTGCTAAGCAAGTGACTAATAAAGTCAAATTTATATTAAATAATAAATATAATATTTCACAGTTGCTTTTATCAACTTTTCTTACCCAATGAAACTTTTTTGTTTCATATTCAGACAGAAGAACTTTAATATGGAGAGCTTGAACGTGTGCAATTCTGCTTATCTGACAGATGTGGTAGTCATAGTATTGTTGAATCGCTGCTTACTGCAGTTGATATAAAAAGTACAAGAAACAGTACAGTGTTATGTGAAGGGTTCCATAAATTCCCATATCAAAGTTTTCAGAATATCTCGTACATATAGTAAGTACCTGCTGCCAAAATTTTATTTCCAAACAATTGTTTGGAATATTGATAGCTACAGGATATAATTTTGACATTGCTGGTGATGCTTGAGATACTCAAATTGTCACGTTTTTGTAAAATCTAAAATGACTAGCATGCTAACCTACAATTGCAGTTCTTTAATTTACTGTTAAGTCTTGCCTTTGGTGTTGAGTAACCATTTAGTGGGTTACAAAATACATGTAATCTTGTAATTTTTCCCATAAATTGTAAATTGAATCAAAAGATTGTAAGAGGATTCCAAACTATGACACTGACTGTGTTACTCCACTTGTTTGTACACCAAGCACGTACCAAGAGTATTAACTCAGGTTATAATCATGCCAAACTAATAGAATACTTTGCCTTAGATAAGTAGTGTTATTAGATGCACTGAGTACCATCCTGTATCTGTAATTTGTTTTTCATCTATCACTTTTCACCTTAGGCATGATAATTCAATTAATAGCCTCATCTTGATTCTTGATTACTGTATTGTCTCCTCCTCTCTCTATCCCCAGTATTTACTGAGTCCCTGCTGCAACTTTCACTTCTAGTACCTCTTGCAAGTATTTTGTGCATTCCCATTTGTGTAGCTTTTCAATTTCCCCTATTCTAAATATTTTCTCCTCACAGAGCCTCTATTTCAAATAATATTATCTCCAGTTCTTAACTTTCTTACATGTATTTGCCAACAAATTCCTGGTTCTCAACTCTCATCTGGCTCTTCAGTAATATTTGAGCAATTTAACCATTAATGTTGAAGGATTTATTTTAAATGTGCATGTCTGTGGTTAAGCTCATGTTTTGGAAAACAGAACAATTCTCCTAAAATTGCATTTTTCCTATGGAGTGTAAAATATTTTGATCTTCTGTGCTAACTAAAAGCCTTAGTATTCAAAAGTCAACATGAGATCTTTTCCCCACCTCCCTCTTTGTCTCCACTTGTAAGGACAATATAATTTTCTGTAGTTCCCTTTTTGTATCTTTTTCCTTTGTTTTTCCCTTACACTTTCTCCATACAGTTATAAATTAATTTTGCCATTTCTTGGCAAACCCCAGTTTTTTCGGTTTCAGCTATACATCAGCCTGGGGCGAGGAGAAAGGTATTCAGACTTATGCCATTGTGTACTTTTCTGGATTACTGCAACTTGTTTGAGATGTCAACTCTGCTGTGCCTCATTCCTTATGGCAATATGCATATTTTTTTCAACAAGAAGGCAGAATAGATATACTAATTTTTATTAAAAATGTATATGCAATTAGACAAGGGGATCTCAATAAAAATTAAAATGTAGGCATTTAGGTCTGCCCACTGTGGTGTTTAAAAGTATACCATGGCCTTTACTGAAGTACTGAAGAACAGTTTCTCTTCTAGATGACTGTTACCTAAACATAGTACCTTTGAGAAACATCATTTGTGTTCTCAGTAGTGGTTTGTTAAGGGTTAGAATTACCTCCAAGAAATCAATGACAAACCAAACAATCAAAGATGCCAGACACATTGCTAAAACATTTGTGAGTCTGTTTGCACTTCTTTGGTTCAACTGCATGGTTTTGCATTGCATGGCTGTTTTGGTTTCCACGCTCCTCCCCACCCGACCTCTCCTTCACCTTGAATAAAGTGAAAGTGAATTTTATTTGGCTGGAATGTGATTATTATTTGTTTTCTTTATATACTGCTTTAATTAGAAGGTAATACCATTACTCAGAATTTTGTAGGCAGAAATTGACAAATTATGTCAAATCCTGTCTCGAAACACAAGGTCAAGCTTCTTTTGCAGCCATCTCAGTGAAAGCAGAATACAGACTTCAGTCTTTACCTTTGCTTTATTATAAGGACAAGTTTTTAGTAACTGGGTTTACATTTATAAGCTCCCTTTATTTTTTTTTTTCCTGTGGCTGCATTGAAAAAACATAGATGATGTTGCCAGATAACCAGATTCTTATGAAATCCTCTTTTTTTTCCCCAAAAAAATCTCTGTACATATGTCATTAGCTATTTATTATCTTCAGCGCTTCACAAAATACACTCACATATCAAACAAATCACTAAGGTCTCTTGTTCCTTCCGAGTTATTTTTAGCCATCTGTCTGCAAATAACAAATACCACACACTAGTCAATAAAAGATTAATATTACTAGGTAATGGTAGTTAAAATTTCATAATTACAGCATATTCTTGAATTTGAACTACAAACCCTAAGTTTCCTAATTATTCTGATGTAAAATAGTTTCAATAAATGCATCACATATCTTAACAGGATTGCTAAGTCTTGTGGCTGGTTTGTAAATAGCTCCATATGACATTTAAATATATTTGTATACATTTCCTGGTACTGTATTAGCTTCAAGAACGAGAATATTCCACAAAGCTATTCAGAAGACTTTTTTTTTTTTTTTTCCCCCTCTTCTTGAGCCTTTCACATTTGAATTCCAGCAAAGAACTACCTAAATACTGCACTGCTTGGAATCACGTAAGTATTGTACAAGGCAAGAGTGCACAGTGTTTCTTCAGCAAATCATACAATTCCAGAGTACCTTTTCCCAGCATTAAATTCTACCAGTTGATCCCTCTCCATCTGCAGTGATTAACCTTTACTGAAGATGCAGCAAAAACTAAAGAAGCAACCAATACCAATGAAATATTTACCTCCCAGGAACTAAGGAGGCTAAAGTTCCTAACAATTACTGAGGATTTTGTGTTTTTTTTTTTTTCCTTCCTATGTTGATCAATTTATCTGTAACTTCTGCCAAGGAAGGGTATCAGGTTCTATGCTTAAGTATGTTACTAAAATCAGACTGGGTGAGGGAGCTGTCTCGCTATTGTGTGCAGATTATTATGGAAATTAATTCCGTACTGTGGAAGGCTTGGGGTTTTCTTTTCCAATTTTTTAAAAGGAATTGAGACTGTGTATTTAAAAAGAACAGGGTTATTAAATGTGGGAGCTGTTGGTGAAAAATGCTGCTAATATGCATTGTGTATTTGTAATTGCCTCAGATATGGTGCGAAGTGTTTCTGACAGGTTTGTTTTTCATGTGTATCACAATACTTGTTTCATTATGCAGATCAAAATTTTACAAAGCATTTCATACAGAAAACATTTGTGTTTATCATCATCTTCCCTTGAAATGCAAATCGTCATAGTTCGGTTATGTGATTCTGTCACCGTTCAAGGCTGGGCCGGCTC